TGACATTGTTGGTTTATATTACGAGGGCTAGTTTACTGAGGAAAATTGCACCGTCATCTCTGTATAGCCCAGTGTTCTTACTATCAAACATAAACCTAAGTCAAAAAAACAGCAGAAATCCAAAAATATTACATGCTTTTGTTGAATCATATGCAACGTAAAGCAGTCTGGGTTATCTCCTCTCTCTCTCTCTCTCTCTCTCTCTCTCTATATATATATATATATATATATATATATATATATATATATATATATATATATATATATGAAAGAAAAATATACGGAAAAAAACAAACAAAAATTTTATATGCAATGATGCTGTTTTAATGTTAATATAATGTCAACGTCGGAGGTTTTCGGTCTAATAAACCATCTTCAGGACATATTCATAAAACACGTTTTCTCAGCCTCGTTTAAAAGGAACGCTGATCTTATAAAACTTTCAGTTATCTGTTTGGATAAGTCTTCTTTTTATGTCCATCGTCTTTGTCATGTTAAATTGATAATTTATGAATATGTTCTGAAGATGGTTTATTAGACCGAAACGTCCGACGTTGACATATTAACATTAAAACAGCATAATTGCATATAAGGATTTTTTGTTTGTTTTTCCGTATACTTTTCTTCATACTGTCGGATCTATATCCATATATTTTGCTATATATATATATATATATATATATATATATATATATATAGAGAGAGAGAGAGAGAGAAGACTAAGTAAGGGGATTTGGATAATCATGATTAATTCAACAAGTCTAGAAGAATCCTCAACAGAATGCAGAAAGCACTAGACGGCCGTTTCGTTCTATTTTTGGGACTCATCGGCAGTGTGCATGTAATGCCGAGAATCGAACCAGGACCGTTACGATATGACGCAAGCGTCATACCCACTGGGCCAAGTAAGTGAAGTACCCAATCCTTGCTTTGCGGCTGATGAGAGGCTCCCCAAACTTTTCACGGAGCCATGCCATGGTAGCATTAATAGTGTGAGGAGTAGCAACAACCAGCTAGAACCTTGATGTTCCTCCACATCAAGGTCCTAACGCCCCTCGAGCACTCACCATCTGAAAGAATACTGGTTTGTTTGAACAATTGTGAAACAGCCTAGTCGGAGCAATAAATTATGTCCATTAATTCTTATTTTATTAAAGACATATCAAACAAGGATTGATTATGAAGCTCATCATAGCTGAGCGGCTAGAAGCACGACGGATCGATCGACGGTTTCTCAAATCTCTCTCTCTCTCTCTGTCTCTCAATCAATTTTCCATGTGTCATATCCTTCAAAGTTTCCTGAATACTGTATCCTAGTTTGTACACACACACGCACACGCATATTAGGATGCAGTATCCAGGCATTTTTTTTAAGAATATTACAAAAGGAAAAGCGCTTCGTTGAAACAGAAAATCTGGAAGAGTCTATAAATAAATTTCAAGAAGAATAAGAAAAGATACACGATAAATATTAACGATTTTTTTTTTTTACAAAATTCGCACAATTTCCTTCTTTTCTTTCGTCATGGGAACCGTCAGCTCAGCAGAAAATAAACTAACGATTTATTATTTAAGCAACCACAAAAATGCAGAGACGCTTTTCATTATCTGTTTTTATTTCAGAGATAAGGTATTGCAATTATTTACATTGTTCAGACTGTAGACCTCATCTGTATTGCCCGGTATCCTCAATATCAAACATAAATCTGAGTTGTCACAACAGTAGAAATCCCAAAATATTACACGCTTCTGCTGCATAATACGCACCCAAAGCAGCTCTGGGTTAGTTGTCTGTCTGTCTGTCTGTATGTTGTCTGTCTCTCTCTCTCTCTCTCTCTCTATATATATATATATATATATATATATATATATATATATATATATAGAGAGAGAGAGAGAGAGAGTATATATATATATATATATATAGAGAGAGAGAGATATATATATATATATATAT